CAACATAGACACCACACTTAATGGCAACATCTTCCTTTTTTTTTCTTTTTTTTGTACCAGGAATCGAACTCAGGACCTTGCGCTTTCCAGGCAAGCACTTATTCCACTGAGCTAGCTTCCCAGCCTACTTCTTCCATTCTTGAAAATCATTAAAAAAGATTTTAATATTCTCACCTCAAAAGTTGTTAACTATGTGAGACACCGCATGTTAATTTAACTATTTCACAATGTATAAACATTTTAAAATTTCGTATTGGACAGGATAAATTATGTAAATTTGTCCTTTGAATTTTTTGAATAAATAAATATTTTCTAATTTAAAAAGTTCACTCAAGCAGAATGAATATTGGGACTTCTGAATACTCATCCTTTATATTTGGCTTTTGAGACTTTTAGTAGTCAGAACAAAAAGGTAATAGCCAAGTACAAAAATGACTAAAGTTTTATAATCATATTATCTCTCATTTCTAAAACACTATAGCATTTTCAAAACACTTCCATATATATGATTTTACTCTGAACCTTAAATCATTCTTATGGTTAATAAAGTGAACTGCCCTGGAGACATTAAATGATTTACTTGCACGTACACTGTAGCCAATAGCTCCTACTCCAGGGCCTTGAGCATCTGCTTCTGATGCTGTTTTATTACCTATGTGCTGCCCTAAGACATACAAGGAAACTACACTGCAATGTAATTCATTGCGCTGCTTCCTTCATTGAGGAAGTTATGCTGTGAAAAATAAATGTTAGCTGAGTCCACCAGTACATTTAGTAAGAAGGTAGACTTTTATTCCGGCGCAAGCTTTATCTCATTGAAAAATAACAACCAGGGGCTGGCCAGATAGCACAGCAGAGTAAAGCATTTGCTTAGGCAGGTGCAGAGACCAAGGTTCAGTCCCCAGCATGCCATGCCGGACCCACCCTCGGGGTGTGCTGAGAAGGCAAACGAGACGAGGTGTGGTGGCACATGCCTGTAATCCTAACACTTGGGAGGCTGAAAACAGAAGAATCACTAAGAGTCCAAGCTACATAGTGAGACCCTATAGACCCTGTACTAAATGCATAAAAAATGAAAGCAATGAAAAAGAAAAAGAACAATCAGTAATAGACTGACAGCAAGCATAGAGATTACACTTTGAATAGCACTGTTCTAAGGAAAAAAATAATTGTAATCACCAAGTATGAGTGTACAGTATGTACCAGAGCTTTAACATGATTATGATTACTAATCTCAACAACAACCATGCAAGATATACATATATATTACCTATATATTATATATGTCTTATATACACCTTACAAATATATCTTTCATATATTTTATATATAGAATAAACTCAGAGAGATTACAGTGTTTGCCCATGATCATGAAATTGAGCCTGTTAGACTTCCGAGTTCACATGATCAGTCACCCACAACTCAACCAGGCACCCTGTCCCAAGCTGTAATTTACATTACTTTGTGTTGATCTGACACTTCTCCCTAGAGTAGGCCAAAGCTCTTGCTCACATCAGGAGCAAGAAAGAGTGTTTCAATTCTTAGAGCTGGCTATGTCTCTGCTCGCATGCGCAC